TTAATTTTTTTCATCAATTTTGACAATAAATACACTCACAGGCAAAATATGTTTTGCCACTTTACAGAGTGTCTTTTGTTTAAACCTGTATATTATTAACGTAGGTACATCTATTTTTTAGTAAATTTTTAAAATACAAGGTGTCACTAACTTATTGGCATAAATTTAGGAAAAGATTAAGCAAGTCAAAATAAGACGAAAATCTAAATAAATATTTTTCCTAATTACTTATGTTTCCAAGATACAGGGTGATAAAGTGTTACTTATATCAGTTTTTTAATATAATTTCTACTGTGATAGACTTGGAAAGGTGATATTTTGCGAACAGTCACTTACTACCAAAACACATATTCACACATAATTACAATTGTTTGAGTGAACACAGTGTCGTAGAAACGGGGGTTGCTTTAAGCTTATTGTCCCATACAAACTTTGAGGTTAGGTTTTTATAACATTTGATGCAATTTTTCGATTGCACTGTTTGGCTACTATACCTATATGCGAGATTAGGATAATTGTTATATTGCATTGTTTAAAAGGATTAAAAGGTATATGATAACAAATTTTATTTTTTAATTGAAATATCTAAAAAGGGCTATGAGCCTCGGGACTTTTTCACCTGACCGTCACATTAAAAAAAAATTGTACTTTTTTCAATTAAAAAAATTGTTTTCATATACCTTTTAGTCCTTTAATGCGATATAACAATTATTGTAATCTCGAATATCTCGGAAACGGTTTATTTTATCGAAGTTTATGAGGTATACCTTTTTAATAGTAGCCGAACTGAGTAATCGAAAAATTGCATCAAATGGTATAAAAACCTAACCTCAAAGTTTATATGGGACAATAAGCTTAAGCAAACCCTGTTTCTACGACACTGCGTTCACTCAAACAATTGTAATTATGTGTGGTAGTAAGTGACTGCTCGCAAAATATCACCTTTTTAAATCTACCATAGTAGAAGTTATATTCAAAAAACTGATATGATAAGACTTTATCACCCTGTATCTTTTAAACATACCGAATTAGGAAAAATATTTATTTAGATTTTCGTCTTATTTTGACTTACTTAATCTGCTCCTAAATTTATGCCACCAAGTTTAGGGACACCTTGTATAAGCGATTCTCCATTAATGTATCTACAATATTCTTTAATATTCGTTTAAATCCGACATCAAATAAAAAAGTTATTTGCGATTGAAATTCATCGAAAATTTGTGTGGATCGATTATTTTTGCCTGTAAGTAACATCTAAATGAATTTTTTTTTCAAGTTTTGGTTTAAATTGACATTTTTAAGACAGTCATATAGTTTGAATTGACATTCTTAAAATTGTCATATCTGACATTTTTAAGACAGTCATATCCAGTTTAAATTTATATTCTTAAAACAATTATATCTGACTTAATTTGACATTCTTAACACAATCACATCTGGCTTAAGTTGACTGATATCTAATTTAAATTGACATTTTAAACATATATATTGAATCAAAAACATAAAAGCAATTTTAACAATTAACAACATTTTTTTATTGTTTTTAATTGTTAAAATTACTTTAATGGATTTTTTTGTTCAATAAATATAGTTTTAGTTTGACTTGACATTCTTAAAACATATCCAGTTTAAATCGACATTCTTAAGACAGTTATATCTGGCTTAAGTTGACATTCTTAAGACAGTCATATCCAGCCTAAATTGGCATTCTTAAAACATTTATATCTATGTCTTAAGAATCTCAATTTATTCTATATGTGTCTTAAGAATGTCAATTGAAAGTAAATATGACTCTTAAGAATGTCAATTAAGCTTGATATGACTGCCTTAAGAATGTCAAATTAAGCTAAATATAACTATTTTAAGAATGTTAAATTAAGCTAAATATGACTGCATTTGGAATATCAAAGAAGCTAAATATGACTGTCTTAAGAATGTCAAATTAAGCTTGATATGACTGCCTTAAGAATATCAAATTAAGCTAAATATGACTGTTTTAAGAATGTCAAATTAAGCTAAATATGACTGTCTTAAGAGTGTCAAATTAAGCTTAATATGACTGTATTGAATATGTCAAATTGAGCTAGATATGACTATTTTAAGAATGTCAAATTAAGCTAAATATGACTGTCTTTAGAATGTCAAATTAAGCTAAATATGACTGTCTTAAAAATATCAAATTAAGCTTGATATGACTGCCTTAAGAATGTCAAATTAAGCTTAATATGACTGCCTTAAGAATGTCAAATTAAGCTAAATATGACTGTCTTAAAAATGTCAAATTAAGCTTCATATTACTGCCTTAAGAATGTCAAATTAAGCTTAATATGACTGCCTTAAGAATGTCAAATTAAGCTTCATATGACTGCCTTAAGAATGCCAAATTAAGCTAAATATGACTGTTTTAAGAATGTCAAATTAAGCTAAATATGACTGTCTTAAGAGTGTCAAATTAAGCTAGATATAACTGTCTTGAATATGTCAAATTGAGCTAGATATGACTATTTTAAGAATGTAAAATTAAGCTAAATATGACTGTCTTAAAAATGTCAAATTAAGTTGGGTATGACTGGTTTAAGAATTTTAAAAAGTCTTCAAAATTTTGTTAAAAATGTCATCTAAATTAATATGTCAAATTTGACTTATTGTCTGATATCAACAAGGCCACGCGCGACCGTCGGTTAACTGTCAAAAATCGTAGAAACAAAAGGAAGCGCATATCCGGAAATGTTAAAAATTGCTTAAAAATGTTAAGTCTGTGATATTTTTAATTAACATTGTTAAGATGAGGACCTAACCCCCAAAAAAATTGAATCTGAAAATAATAGGTGTGCTCTGCTGTTTTTTCCTTCGACGGCTCGCCGATTAAAATACAAAGTCGCGTTCTCATAGGATTATTGGAAAAAATGACTTTTTGTGCAATACTTTGCAAAAACCAAAGAACTCGATTTTTTGACAGCCACGCATGACACTTAAACATAAATTAACTGTCAAAAAGAACGCGATCGTCATTTTTTTCGTACACGTATTCAAACACTATTATTTTGTAAATAATAATAATGAAAAAGATAATTTTTAGTTCCCCCATATTCCCTCAACCGCACACTTTATACAGGGTGTTCAGTCATAACAAGTAACTCCTACGAAAGAGCTGATTTGGCTCCAAACGCCCGTTTGTTGTTTATTTTTGTTAAAATAAATTTGTGTGCGCTCGCACCATTATTATTATTATTATATTATTTTTATGAATTATTCCTTCGATCATGGTTGTTTTGTTTCATAGTTGACCTGTTGACAGGCGATTGATTTTCTATTGTTTTTCGCAAAGCAGCTGTGATTTTTACGATGATTATTACATTATTATTGTACAGGGCGTTTCTCGGAGACCGTCAGTGTTTTAAATGGCGGTCTTGCGCATGATCGCCCTGTATGTGTTTTTTCGAGAGAAAAACGAAGATAATCTTCCCCCATTTTTGTTATGAAAATATATTAAAAAGTGCTCTTAATTTTTTGTACATAATTTAAGATGTCTAGTTATTGTACAAAATATTGGTTTATTAAAATAGTTCAAAGAGTTTTGTGCATTGCCATCAAGCGATGTATATGATATACGCCTTCAATGAAAATAAAGATATTTTCTATAAAAAAAACAGAGTTTTACTTCCAACACCGTTCCAAGAAATAATGTCGAAGAACGTCAATCATGAGTCCCCTATTTTTTTATTTATGGTAAGTAACTAAACCTTGTAAAAAACTAAGTTTTATCTGATAACTGTCAAGCTGCTTTAACCTCACTTTTAACCAATCTGACATCTGTCAAGCGTTTTTAACCTTACTTTTTCCCAATCTGACATCTGTCAAACTGTTTTAACCTCACTTTTTGTAGGTAAATTGTTTGTTTTCAATAAAAATAAAGATTAAAACAACTACCCCATTTTTTTATAGTAAGGAACTAAACTTTGAAGTCAATTTTATTTGACATTTTATTTGACAACTGTCAAGCGGCTTTAACCTCACTTTGTGCCAATCTGACATCTGTCAAACGGTTTTAGCCTCACTTTTTCCCAATTTGACACCTGTCAAACTGTTTTAACCTCACTTTTTGTGGGCAACTTGTTTTTAATGAAAATTAAGATATTAAAGAAAACAGCTGAGTTTTACTTTCTACACCCTTCCAAGAAATATTGTCCAAAACGCCAATCATGAGTCACCATTTTTTTTAAATCCCCAATTTTTTTATTTATGGTAAGTAACTATAGTTATTATAACTATAATAGGTTAATAATTTATAAACCATGAGAAAAACGACTAATTACAATGTTTTTTTAGAATTTAAGCGGCTTAACTTTACTTTTTACCAACCTGACAGCTGCTAAACTATTTTAACCTGTCTTTTTGAGGGCAAATTGCTTAAATATCGATATAAAATTTGAATTTGAAAAATTTGCTTAATATACCGGAAAATTAAGATTTTGCAAGGATGTTTAAAGCCTGATTTATAGATTGCCTTCCTTCCTTCCTCCCGTAGAAGATAAACGATACAATCCCGTACGGGAATCTATAAACGGCACTACGGTTTTCGTATAGTTCATCTTTTACGGGAGGAAGGAAGGAAGACAATCTATAAATCAGGCTTAACAAGGAGGAACATTGAACAAACTAAAATCCCCAGATCCAGGAATAATTCCCTAGACCTGGCATCACTGCCTCAAGATCTGTTAATACTGTGGTTAAAAATCTACTATAGTAAACCATTTCTCTTCCACTACGTAAATTATTGTTTTTGCATGGTTTTATTTTATGTTTAATACAAGATTTTAATATAAATAGTAAAAAACTGCAGGGACAAAATCTATTTAATGGTGGCAACCCTGGCAACCAACATGGCGTCAGTGACATTCAAGGTGCCGATCTATCTGTCAAAACAAACGTAAAATAAATAAATCGCTCGTTTAGAGAGATGTAACTGCCAATAAAAGTTGAAACAAGTGTTATAGAAGATGGCAGCGGCATTGGAAAGTGTAAACGGCGACTCTCAATGGTCGGAATTCTGCGAACGACACGCCACGGCGTCAGCTCTGGATTTTTCCAAGTCTTGTACGCAGTTTTTCGCCCTTAATCTGTCGGAAAACGCTAGGAGTTCGTTGAGTCACAAGGATTTCCTCAGAAAGTACATCGAGTGCTTCTCTGAGCAGTTCGAAATCGATTTCAATAAGAGGAAACAGAATGTTAAGATGAATGGCATGATCAAAATTGAGGAGGAGCATGTTGACAGCGAAGATGGGTCCCCCAAGATGCCGTATAAACCATTTTTTAGAAGGTATTTATCACATTTTTATCAGGCATATCAAAAAGCACTTCAGTTTGATTGCCATAGTATAGTCAAGATTTTTTATATAGGTACCGACAGGTACTAAAAAATAAGAAACAGAAGAGCTGTTTTATATTTTAACAATTTCATAAAATCGGTTATAATTAATTCAATATGCATTTTTCAGTCTGTTTGACTCTAACGTCTAATAATTGAGGTTATGTTTCAGTAAGTTTTAATTGAAAACATATTTTCAACTACATTAGCAGCTAGTTTACAAAATAACCAAGGATCTTGGCTAATTTACTTGAAATTATTAGGGAAACTAAAATAGCTGGATAGTTTGTATACCATCCAATTCAGTTTGGCTAATATGAAAACCAAAATTTCTAGTAACACAAAATAGCCAAGCTTTAGCTAGTTTGTAAACTAACCAACCAATTCTCTGGCTAACTTATTAAAAAAGTGAGGTTACGGCATTGTTTTTCGTTTTGCCGGCTTAATCGGATTTGTTTTGTGCATTTTAACGTTTTTAAAATGAATCATAGGCAAACGCTTCCTTGTTAGAAAACTCAACAACACAACCCTACCGACTAGAAAGTTTGGTTTTCATATTAGCCGAATTGAATTGGATAATATACAAACTATCCAGCTATTTTAGTTTCCCTAATAATTTCAAGTAAATTAGCCAAGATCCTTGGTTATTTTGTAAACTAGCCGCTAATTTAGTTAAAAATACATTTTCAATTGAAATAACTGACAGTTTGGCTAGTTTATAAACTATCCAGCTAGTTTATAAACTATCCAAGTTTGCACATTAGCCTGACATATATATTTCTTTCTTAAAACATTTATATCTATCTATCTATCGACGATTTTTAACTGTCAAATCTAGCATAAAATGACATTCTTAAGAATGTCAACTTGTTGGTTTCAATTTAATTTAGATATGACTGTCTTAAAAAGTGAACCTTAGATAGATGTGACTGTCAAAATGTGACTGGATATGACTGTTGAGAATGCCAATTTAAGCTTGATATAACTGTCTAAAAATGTCAAATTAAGCTAGATATGACTGTCTTAGGAATGTCAATTTAAGCTTGATATGACTATCTTAAGAATGGGAAATTAAGCTAAATATGATTGTCTTAAGAATGTCAAATTAAATTAGATATAACTGCCTTAAGAATGTTAAATTATTCTAGATATGGCTCTTAAGAATGTCTAAGCTAAATATGACTGTAAGAATGTCAAATTAAGCTAAATATGACTGTTTTAAGAATGTCAAATTAAGGTAAATATCACTGTCAAGAATTTCAAATTATGCCAGATAGGACTGTCTTAAAAATGTCAAATTAGGCTAGATATGACTGTCTTAAGAACGTCAAATTAGGCTAAATAATAATAATAATCTTTATTTCAAAAATTTGCATACTCAGTAATTACAAATGGAAAAACCACAGTATGTACAGAAAAGAAATATGTCAAAATAAAAAAGGAAACAGACTGTACTTTTAAACAAATTAAAATTATTTATATTTATAATTTTTTTGGTAAAATATTGAATGTTTTTATGCAGGCATATAAGCATTATTTTTCAAACGTTGAAGTATTATGATGTGGATAGTAATAGTAAACATTTCTTAAATTTCTGCCCTATATTGTTTAAAGATCTGTTTGTTTTTAAACATATACAGTAATAGTTCATACACATAAAGGCCACTTACAGTTAGAACATTTTTAAAATATCCTCTACAGGTAGACATGTACTCTAATATGACTGTCTTAATAATGTCAAATTATTCTAGATATGACTGTTTTAAGAATGTCAAATTAAGTTAGATATGACTGTCTTAAGAATGTCAAACTAAGCTAGATATGACTGTTTTAAGAATCTCAAATTAAACCAAATGTGACTGTCTTAAGAAAGTCAAATTATTCTAGATATGACTGTTTTAAGAATGACAATTTAAGTTAGATATAACTGTCTTAAGAATGTCAAACTAAGCTATAAATGACTGTTTTAAGAATGTCAAACTAAGCTAGATATTACTGTTTTAAGAATGTCAAATTAAACTAAATATGACTCTTAACAATGTAAAATTATTCTAGATATGACTTTTTTAAGAATGTCAAATTAAGTTAGACACAACTGAATTAAAAAATGTCAATTCAAGCTAGATATGACTGTCTTAAGAATGTCAAATTAAGCTAGATGTGACTGTCTTAAAAATGTCAATTAAGCTTGATATGTCTGTCTTAAGAATGACAAATTAAGCTTAATATGACTACCTTAAAAATGTCAAACTAAATTTGATATGACTGCACTAAAAATGTAAAATTAAGCTAGATATTACTGTCTTAAAAATGCGAAATTAACTTTGACACAACTGAATTAAAACATGTCAATTCAAGCTAGATATGACTGTCTTAAGAATGTCAAATTAAGCTAGATTTAACTGCTTTAAGAATGTAAATTAGGGCTTGATATGACTGCCTTAAAAATGTCAGAAAGCTCTTTAAAAAATAATATTTAATATTATGTCAAATTTGTCTAATATCAACAAGGTCAGTGTAACTATCAAAAATCGTAGAAACAAAAGAAAGTGTATTAAGAACCTGGTACAAACATTTTGAAAAAAATTCTAAAAAAATGTGTTTGTTAATACAATTTGCATAAAAAATGAAAATTTTACAAAATAAAGATTGTTTTTATGTAAATATAGTCTATGCATTAAATATACATGTCAAAAAATTGGTTGTTGGTTATAATCAACTTGCAAAGACGTTTTGAACGACCCCATTTGTTACATGTGATATTTTGACGGTCTGACGCCATTTTGAAAATCTCTTACGTCTAAAATAACTTTTTAAATCTTCTCATTCTTTTCCCTTGGTTTAATTATTATTATTAGAAATTAGTAAAAACATAGGAAACATAAACCTCTGTTTCAGACTGAGTTTCAAAATGCTGCGCAAATCGAAGGACCTCTTCCACAAGCAGCACTCGGACGACGGTGACGCGTCCGCCGTCGCGCAGCACAACAAAACCAAGCTGGCCAAGATCGTGGTGGAGTGCCGCAAGGAGGGCATCGTCAACTACTCGACGCCGGAGAGCCTCGACCAGCCGGGGGTTCCCCCCAAATGGGAGCGATGCCGCCTGCAACTGGTCAAGGCCACCGGCGGCTACATGCTCGAGTTCTACTCGCCCCCGAAGAATCAGAAGGTAAGCTTGTCAAATTTTTTCTGACCCATACTTTTTATGGTTTTATTCAAGGCGTTTTGTAATATTAAACATTTCTGTGAAATCGGAATTTCAATTCAGTCTACAGTTTTCGAGATATTTACAAAAAAAAATCTCCTAATTACGTCGCTAGGCTATTGACAACGTTGCCAGCTTTTTCTATGGTTGCCAGTGTGTTTAGTTTAAGATTCTCACGATAGATGGCGCCACGTTATAATATTTTAGTTTTAAAACCACTTGATCTATAATTTTAGTTGAGAAGAAGAATTGATTTTTTGACGTTTCTTTTTTTCGGGTTATGTTTTTTTTTAAATTTAGATTATTGAAAATCAATGTTATTTGTAATTGATATTAGATAAGTGATTTATTAATAACGTACTCCAAAGCAGAGGAATCTTGTGGAATGGTTGGTTACATTGAACATTGGAGCTTTTAAACAAATAAAGTAAGTACCTATAATTATAATCATATTTTGACGTAAATGCATTTCATTAGTATAATGCCTAGTTCTTTATATTCTTTTAGATATATCTTGGACTCTAAAATATCAAACAGTAATATGATACCTCGTAATAAGGAAGATTTGGTGACCATCTTTCACTCAACTGACAGTGACAGTATTTGTACAAAACCTCTTCGGGTATTTTCTGACATAACCGAATGAAATCATTAACAAGACAACTTGACAACAGGGTAATTTTCAACCAATAGAAATCTTAGAATGTTGGTCACATGGCGAGGTTTGTGACGTCATAAAAATGTATATTTTTTGTAAATATCTCGAAAACGGTAAACTCAATTGAAATTCTGATTTCACAGAAATGTTTAAAATTACAAAACGCCTTGAATAAAACCATAAAAAGTATAGGTCAGAAAAAATTTAACTACCCCATTGCGTCGATAAATACTAAATTTTTGCGTAGCCGCGTAGCGGAGTCTTTTGCGCGCTCATCACCGAGGCGAGAGAGACTACGGCGCTGGAAATGCCCGATCACGAGAACACGTTCGTGCTGAAGGCGAGCAACAACATGGAGTTCGTGATCGAGGCGCACGACACGGACGACATGCGATCTTGGCTCGCTACGATTAGGTACGAAAAAAAAATCAAAGTGCTTAAACTACTTTTCGCCACACAGTTTTGGAAAAATCCCTTCCAGACCTTGGGTTTAGTTTGGTTAGAAAGGAACCATCATAACCTTCACTTTTGTGGGCTCTGTTTGAAAAGTCGTTAACGGATATAGAGAGCAAACATCAAAAAACACTTTTAACTTTCTCGATAAACTCCATTGAGTTTTTAACTAATAATTAGTATAAATATGGTAGATTTGGCACTTCTCTTCTGAGTATGGATCTTTAGTTTGTCCAACATATTTCTTGTCACAATCCTGACAGTTTATTTCGTAGATCCCCAACCCAACCATCATAACCTCGACTTTTGTGGGATCTGTTTGAAAAGTCGTTAACGGATATAGAGAGCAAACATCAAAAAACACTTTTAATTTTCTCGATAAACTCCATTGAGTTTTTAACTAATAATTAGTATAAATATGGTAGATTTAGCACTTCTCTTCCGAAGATGGCGAAAAGTACTTTGAGCACTTTGTGTTTTGTTTTGGTGTGTGGGGAATATTGTTTAAAACTACATGCGTTCGAAGGTATTGCATGAAGGCGGGACACGCCGGACCCGCAGGTGATACAGCCGCAGGTGCCGATCACCATAGCAACGATTATCACGCGGACGCCCCCGATCTCCCCCCGAGGCACGTGCGGGGGGGGAGATCGCCTCTCGACGAGCAGCAACTTCGAGATTTGCCCCACCACAGGGGAACCCCTTGCGTGTAAGTAACATTTTCTTTTTTTACATTTTCAGGGCTTAGTAGTACAAGTAAGTATCGCAGGTGTTGTTGCTTTTTTAGCGATGGAAACCGATATAGGGCAGACGTTAAAAAAAGAGTTGTGGTTTCACGGTACCTTGGGTAGGTCCGAGGCCGCGCAGCAGGTTCTGCACGACGGAGCGTCCGGTCACGGTCGTTTCCTCGTCCGGCAGAGCGAGACGAGGACGGGCGAGTTCGTTTTGACTTTCAACTTTCAGGTAGGTTCACCTAATACTTAAAAAGTGTAAAGTGCGATTCAAAAGTGTCGGACCGTCGTGGTTATAAAGGGCGCTCAACTGAGTACAAAAATGTAAACGAAATGGTTCTGCTAGTCTTTTTACTCTAAAGAGTACGTGCAATTTCTGAATTGCCTGATAAGGACTGTAGTTAAGCTGATACGGGTCATTTTTTGCTAATGAAAAAATTTCGATCAGGAATTATCCTTGTCTTTTCTAAAAGAAGATCATAGAATCATGACTGGGGACCCAGCAGAACTCTAACTTGGCCGCTCTTTTTTATAGGTTTAGCAGTTTTGACCTAGTTTCTTATGTCAGTGCATCTTTTTTTGCTTGTGTTGCTGTTGTTGCACACTTTTTTTAAGGCTGACTTGGAGTGTAAAATGTTTTGTCTTTCTGTCGCTTTTTTAAGGGCTTGGAATATTGTCTGTTCTATTTCCTTTCGTAAGCCAACCCACTGCACAGACTAACGACGGTCATTTTTATGCTGTTTACACAGATTAAACATCGTTGTGTTTCTTGCAGAGGCACTTGTAAGCCTCAAATGAGGCCTTAAAGTGCTAATGGTAACCTGTTTACTCCTCTTTTGTAAAAAAATAAACCTTATTCTATCAGGGCTGTCATTTTGTTGCCTGATGTTTTTTTTGGTTGATAAATATAGTATGGCTTAATTTGACATTTTTAAGACAGTCAGATCTAGCATAAAATGACATTCTTAAAAATGTCAATTTGTTGGTCTTAAAAACGTCAATTTAAGTTAGATTTTTTTTATAATGTAAAATAAGGCGAGGTATGACTCTGAAGAATGTCAAATTAAGCTGGATATGACTGTCTTAGAAAATGTCCAATTAAGCTAGATTTATCTGCCTTGGGAATGTTAATTATAATTGACATTCTTAAGACAGTCAAATTAAACTAGATATGACTGTCTTAAGAATGTCAAATTATCCTAGATATGACTGTATTAAGAATGTCAAATTAAGCTAGAAATGACTGTCTTAAGAATGTCAATTAGGGCTAGATATGACTGTCTTAAGAATGTCAATTAAGCTTAATATGACTGTCTTAAGAATGCCAAAGCTAGATATGACTGTCTTAAGAATGTCAATTAAGCTTGATATGACTGTCTTAAAAATGTCAATTAAGCTTGATATGACTGTCTTAAAAAAGTCAAATTAAGCTAGATATGTGTCTTAAGAATGTCAAATTAAACTAGATTTAACTGCCTTAAGAATTTCAAAAATTAAGCTAGATGTGACTGTCTTAAGAATGTCAAATTAAGCTAGATATGACTGTCTTAAGAATGCAAAATTAAGCTAGATATGACTGTCTTAAGAATGTCAATTAAGCTTGATATGACTGTCTTAAAAATGTCAATTAAGCTTGATATGACTGTCTTAAAAAAGTCAAATTAAGCTAGATATGTGTCTTAAGAATGTCAAATTAAGCTAGATTTAACTGCCTTAAGAATTTCAAAAATTAAGCTAGATGTGACTGTCTTAAGAATGTCAAATTAAGCTAGATATGACTGTCTTAAGAATGTCAAATTAAGCTAGATATGACTCTTAAGAATGTCAATTAAGCTTGATATGACTGTCTTAAGAATGTCAAATTAAGCTAGATATGACTGTCTTAAGAATGGCAAATTAAGCTAGATTTAACTGCCTTATGAATGTCAATTAGGGCTAGACTGTTTTAAGAATGTTAAATTATTCTAGATATGACTGCCAAAAAATGTCAAATTAAGCTAGATTTGATCATCTTAAGAATGTAAATTAAGGTTAGATATGGCTGTTTTAAGAATGTCAAATTAAGCCAGCTATAATTCTTTTCGTTCTTTTCCCTTAAAATCTTTACTTGGTCTAATTTAACCAGAGACTGAACACAACAGCCAATATGTAAGAAGTAAGAAGATAATTTAAATGTACCGCGCTTCAAGATGGTTCTTCCGGTAACCACTAGAGGCGCCACCGTATTTATGCTCCCCATTCTTTATACCACTAACAGGCACTCTTGCGTTTGTTTCTCTAGGGGAGTATTAGTATTGTACGCCTTTATCTTGGAAGTTTAAGGTCTTGAAACACTTTCGTTTGCCTTTTTGCACGAGGCGTCGGTCCGACATTTTCGAACGATCCCGTCTCCAAAGCCTAACGATACTTTTACGAAACGTCAGGGAAGAGCGAAGCACCTGCGCATGACGATAAACGATCAGGGTCAGTGCCGCGTGCAGCACTTCTGGTTCCAGTCCATCTACGAGATGCTCGAGCACTTCCGCTCCCAGCCGATCCCGCTGGAAAGCGGCGGCAACAGCGACGTCACGCTCACCGACTACATCCTCAACCCGAACGCGCGACAGCTCAACCAAGGATCGATCGGTAACGAAATATTGTAGTGGGGGGCGTTTTTTTCGAATAAAAAAGATGCCCACTTTTTTAGGTCGGGGCGCATCCGTTTCCGCCAGCCTCTCGGCGCAGAGTCTCTCCAACGGGCACGACAGGAGAGTCCCCCCTCTACCGGAAGTGAGACACGTGAGGTAAACGTTTTATGTGCCCTATAAGTATTTTATATGCACCTAAAGTTATTGCGGTACAATTGTTCGACACCTCAACCGGAGATGGCGCCAACAAAACGCCATTATTTATTTCGATAAATAAACCTAGATGGCGCTTGCTCTTAACCTCCCCTTTAGTCGATGTGTTCTCTTGTAAATCCTGTGTCTAAAGCTGATGTTTTCCTAGCCACTCTGCCGCTTAGATTTCCAAATTTGTGTGTATTGTAAGTGTGGCCCTGTTAAAAGATGTGTATGTAATGTTATAAATGGATAAAAATTTGTGTCGGAAATTCTGCCATTTCCTATATGCAACGAATGCATTTTCCACATTCAACTCTTTCTTACTCGTTGAGCGTAAAAAATTGTCTTGTTTACTCAACATTTTCTTCAGCATCGTTTTTCCGCATCTCCAGATAGTGTAAATATGTATATTTGTAAAAATACAAATAAAAACCTATGTGACAGTAAATTATTACAATTTTTTTTCTTCTAAAATAAAAAAGCTTGTCTGCAGGTATAATATAAGAGTATCTAATTAATTAAGAAATGTTAGGCGATGTTTTTTACGGTTCGGTTAATAAAAATACCTTGAAATATTGTATGAATTATAAGTTATACAGTGTGTCCATCAAAATCCCACTTCTGATGTAAACATTAAGAACGACGTAGCTCCCTTATAAAACATCTTCTTGGGAAGTTTTTTTCCTATTTTGGGCTGTACAATCACCCCTCACAATTTTTGAATGCAATTCTGTATATCCCACTTCTGATGTAAACATTAAGGACAACGTAACTCCCTTATAAAGCATTTTTGACCCTATCTTCTCGGTAAGTTTTTTTCATATTTTGGGCTGTAGAATCACTCCCTACAATTTTTGGATGAAATTCGGAAACATCCCACTTCTGATGTAAACATTAAGGACAACGTAGCTCCCTTATAAAGCATTTTTAACTGAGAACTTTTTTCATATTTTGGGCTGTTGAATCGCCCCTTAAAATTGCTGGTTTTATAACCATACCCCCAAAATTTTGACGCATCGTATTTGCTTGAATAATAACTTATTAAAAAAGATTATGATTCCTATAATATTATACTGAGGTGTTTTGTTCCGCGACAAAAATATTTTGCACTGGGATTGTTAAAGTGAAACTTTTAAAGATTTGTAGACCGCTGCGCTCAAATTGGCGGCTTTAAAAGTTTAATAACTCCTTCAAAATGGGGACACTGTATATAAATATTATAAAAAAAAAAATTTATGTACATACATATATGATCAGTGCAGTGCAATTTTATTTATAGTTTAAAGTATACTTTATGTATACATACGCTTTTTAGGTTTACTATTTATTTTTATATTTTATTAAAGCGTTTATTTTATAATTTAAAATCCATTGTCGTACGTTTGGCGTACAATAATTTTAAGTACAAACTTGTAAATATATTGTATTACAATTAATTTTGGTTTTAATTTCATGCCTTAAAAAAAATAATTTTTGTGAACTTATTTTTTATTCATATAAAACATTTATGTTAATCCCATCTGCTTTTCAAACTCCTCTTCTGATATTTTTTTCTTTTTAAATTTTTTGAGCAAAGCCACATCTTTCTTTAATTCCTCCAAATCCTCATCACTGATACCTGCAAATATAATTTTGGCGGATACAAAAATAAATATATATTTATATCGCCTTAACTCACCCTTTCGTTTTTTACTTTTAGGTGCCTCATTACTAGCCAGTTTGGCTTTTTTTAAAGCCTTCCTTTTCTTCCTTTTTTCCTTCCTCTCTTCCTTCGTTTGTTTCGTTTTCGACCACGGTTCGGTGGGTTTTTTAATAAATTTCGCCTTATGTCCCGGCCATGCACCCGTGACTTTGTACTCCTCCAGTTTTTGTTTCCTAATAGTCTCCCTCAATTTATCCTTGTAAGGCACTCTGGTTACGTCAAAGTCTGTTAGTGCGGGAAAATCGGAGAGATCGCGGTTTTTTAGTTCGGGCATTTTCGGTAACTGTAAGAGGCCGTAGGTGGCTGCCATAGCACCTAAAGGCAAGTCCTGAAAGTTTTTAAAAAGTTGCATTGCGATTTATTTTGTCTTTTGATGCTGATATTATTTTCACCTACCTTGACTTTTAATAATATGTTGCACTCGTGTTTTGAATACGCCCTTACATGCGAAACGTATGCTTTTGTGGCTTTTTCCATAACAGCCCTGTCCCTCTTCTGAATGAACCTTAATTTGTCCGTATAGCTGTTAATCTATTGAAACGATAATAATTTTAAATTTGTTTAGTTTTTAATTTATTACGAATCATACTTCATCAATTGTGGCGGTATCTTCCACCTGGATAAGCCTAACCCTCTGATTTGTTTCTATGAAAGGAACATACGCGTCTTCGTTTTCTAAAAGCAGTATAAGACTGGACCCTTCGTGTCCTTGTCTGGCAGTACGACCGACTCTGTGCACAAAAGCACTGGCACTGGCTGGGGGATCCCACTGCAAAACCCAGTCCACCTAAACAATACCACTGCAGTACCCAGCAAACGCAAAAATATATAAGTGTATAGGATAACTCTTGTTTTGTCCGAGCTGTATTGAAACTCGACCAATACACTTCTATACTTTTCTGTTTGCTGTGCAAAGACAAAACAATAAAAATAAATAATTACTTCAGGTATATCGATACCCCGCGCCATTACGTCGGTGCATATCAAGAGGGCCTTATCTGATTTCCTAAAACTCTCCAAAATTTTTTTCCTCTTTTCCTTCATTTTACCATGGATTGCTATGACGGGTAGATTTAATTCTTTAGGTAATAATTGCGGAAACACTGTCGACCAATAGTCGACGCACGCGCATGTAGGTAAAAATAGCATCGCTTTTTGAACATCTTTTGCCTGAATAAAAGATATCAAGGTGCCTAATTTACCTGCAATTTTTTTTAAGTATTTATTGAACTTTATATACACAGTGTTATGTAATTAATGTAATACTGCCATTGGTAAAAAATTGTTACTAGAAATTTTCCTTGCAAAAATAAATAAAAATTAATATACACTCGCAGGCAAAATAATCGATCCACACAAATTTTCGATGAATTTCAATCGCAAATAACTATTTTAATTGATGTCGGATTTAAACGAATATTAAAGAATATTGTAGATAAATTAATGGACAATCGCTCACATTTAAAAAAAAATTACTAAAAAATAGACGTACGTTTATAATATACAGGTTTAAACAAAAATATGTTTTTTACCATAAGTTTTAGACACTCTGTAGAGTGGCAAAACCGTATATTGTTCTAAATTAAGTTTTATTTATCAAGTCACATCTATTGTTAACAGTTTTGTTTTTGGTTCACCTCGATATATTTATTTTTGTGGAAAATATGGATTTTTTAGAAAAACATTGCAATTTCCAATATTTTTCTGTATGAAGAACTAAGGTTGCTATGGTCCATCCATAGGCTATGGATAATGACAGTGACAGTTTTGTTGAATCATCCCATACTTGGACATGTCATACACGGCTTTCAAAAGCTATCAAATTGTTTTTTGCAAATTAATGTTTAAAGTTTGAGGTGTCTTCTTACTTTATAAAATGGATATGTCTCCGACTGATGTTGCCAGAGCCATTAATTTAATCCAGGATGGACGGTCACAGTATTACGTGGCAAGTGTTTTAAACGTCACAAGAAGTAAAGTGCAAAGGGCAACATCAGTCGGAGACATTTTTAAAAGTAAGAAGACACCTCAAAATTAACACATTAATTTGCAAAAAAACAATTTGATAGCTTTTGAAAGCTGTATATGACATGTCCAAGTATGGGATGATTCAACAAAACTGTCACTATCATTCTCCATAGGCTATGGATGGACCATAGCAACCTTAGTTCTTCATACAGGAAAAATATTGGAAATTGCAATGTTTTTTAAAAAAATCCATATTTTCCACAAAAATAAATATATCGAGGTGAACCAAAAACAAAATTGTTAAGAATAGATGTGACTTGATAAAAAAAACTTAATTTAGAACAATATACGGTTTTGCCACTCTACAAAGTGTCTTAAACTTATGGTAAAAAACATCTTTTTGTTTAAACCTGTATATTATGAACGTACGTCTATTTTTTAGTAATTTTTTAAAATGTGAGCGATTGTCCATTAATTTATCTACAATATTCTTTAATATTCGTTTAAATCCGACATAAAATAAAAAAGTTATTTGCGATTGAAATTCATCGAAAATTTGTGTGGATCGATTATTTTGCACGTGAGTGTATATTACATTAATTACGTAACACCCTATTATTATTATTATTATTATAAGCAGACAAACCGTTATTTTTAGTCGCTATATAATAATTTTCCAGTAGCAGAGGGGTACTCTGCGTTGCTTTGGCACTGACGCTGACTATGACTGGATTTCTTAAACCTGCGCGGATCAAATCTTCAACCGCTTTAGTCTGCGTGGCAGAAAAAAGTCCGGTCCTGCGTTGTCTCGGTAGGTAACTTAATATGGTGTCGAGACATTTTTGGAAGCCTAAATCCAGTAGTCTGTCAGCCTCATCCAATATCAATATTTCCTAAAGATTATATTGATATGAGTGGTCCTCAAATTTCATTATTAATCAATACGCTAAAGTAGTGAACATACATTTAAATTGATTACTCCTTATATCATTAATTAAGAAACTCAATTTATATTTAAGTTTGGACATTTTTAAGAAATTGGTAAAAAATAATTTTTGCACAAACATAACCTTAAAATCAAGTGGAGACTTTTAATAATGCTAAATGCTGTTTAAATTTAGACGACTTATTTGCTTGACGATTTTTACTGAATTGAAATGTTTACACTTTTCACGTTAATCACTACTAAAACGTGTATTTATTGTTTCTAATAGGTACAATTTATATTTACAGAGACTGTATGCAATTTATTTCTTCATTCAGATTAACACTGTTTATTGGAAAACCGGTAAAAACTCAATCCAGCTTTTGACAGCTGATTATTAAAAGTTATACTTTTGTTACTATGATGAGGGACTAAAAAAATCGAAAACTGTGGTTAAATTAACCAATTTTTCAATGTTGGAAGTAAAAAAAAAATTTTAAGATTTTTTTGATCACGGGTTCCAAAAGATGAAATTTTCAAAAAAACTGCTTTTTTTGTGTTTTTCTCTCATAACTTCTTAAAAAATGGTAAAAATCAAAATGTTCATTCTATATAAAATTTTCGTTTTTAAATGTTCTTTTCGAAAAAAAATATATTGAAAATATTTGAAGCGTTTAAGTCAAGATTTTTGAGTTTTAAAGTTTAAATCGTGTTTTTAAAAATGTGTCTTCTTCGATTTTCACGAAAAAATTTTATTTTCAACTTTTATCTATTCAACAACTATTCAGCCTGGTCCGGTAGTGGGCCTTCCATAATTACTATTTTTTTTCGAAACTTATAATAATTTTTAGAGAATTTTTTTTATTTAATTTTGAAAAATTGATCTTTTGATCAAAAAAATCTCAAAATTTACTGAGAAAGCTCTTTCAAGGAGTACTATGATATAAAAAAATTGTTGTGGAATGCCCCATATATATTGCGAATACATTCGCGTTTGACAGTGGCAGTGACAGTTCTATATGCGTGTTATTTAAAATCTAATAATGAGTTGTGAAAATGAATAAAATCTGCTGCAAAGTAGTATTTAAAAAAAAGGTGCAGGAACAAAATGACAGATTGATAATTTCGGTTGTCAATTTTTTTTTTTTGGAAAATTCACAATACTTACCAGACTTTTCACTGAGTTTGTCAAATTTAAATCGTTTTTCCTAGTCAACAAGTCCTCCAGTCTTCCTGGGGTACAAATCACAATATTACCGCCATTAACCTTAAAGTTTTTTATGTCTTCCTCTACACTATTTCCACCTACAAACAATATGTGATTTATATCCTGCAAAAAAAAATAATTAGGTAGGTAATAAAATTAATAAAAATGATGAAATACTAACGGAAACATATTTTAACAGCTGACTCAACACTTGTTTGGTTTGTAAAGCCAACTCCCTTGTCGGGGAGATAACAACTGCCCCAACTTCGTACTTTTTCAATTTTTGTTCACGTTTCTTTAGTATATCCAGCAAGGGTATCAAAAAGGCTAATGTTTTACCAGAACCTTAAATACAAAGTAAGGTTAAGATGTATAAATAAAATTGCTACATAATATGCTTCAAATTATTTACCTGTAACAGCTTCGGCAGCAACATCCTTTTTATTAATGAGCTGAGGAATTGTCGCAGCTTGGACAGGTGTCATTGCGGGAAAATTAAAAGATTTAATGCCATCTTGAATTTCCTTGTGCAATTTAACACCAAGATCACCCCATACTTTACTCATTTTAATTAAAAGAAGGAAAAACAACTAAGATGTGGATGTCACATACATTTCTAGGTTAACTTTTTTAGGTTAGATCGCATCAGTGTGGCCAACATAACCGCTATGAAAAACCCTTAATTGCTTCAAGAAATTCCTAGTTTTAACAAATAATAATAATTATTATTGTACTAAAGAGTTTAAATTGTACAAACAGCACCATGCAAATAATAATATTATTTCTAAGAACGTATTTTTGTATAAATTAAATGTTTAGGTCGCAAAAAATCCCTAGAACTAGGGACAAATGCATAAGTTGGCATCACTGTCATTTCAAACTTGCAACCTTATTTATTGGTTAACTTTTTCTATTGTTTGGTTGTTTTGTGTATGTTTTTAAAATGAATCCAGTAGCGGTGTTTTTAGAAATTATCAACTGTTGTTTAGGTAAATAATACTAATTTAGTATTACTAAACTATGTTTTTTGTTATTCTCACATATATACTTTTTTGATAACATGTTTTTTTTTGTTTTAGGCGTTAAATCCTCTTCTGCAGGTCGAGCATCTTTGCACAGAAATGGTTTCCGATGTCAATTTGCCAGCTGCTCAGCTTCAGGTAAGCTAATTAGCTTAACCTTTAATATAACTGTCAAATGTTTAATGGGGTTTGGACATGCAATTGTTTTATTGCACATTTTGAATCTACCCATATAAGTTGTGAATGAATTCAACACCTGTTTTTAGCATTCTAGAATTCTTTAAAGTTTTTTTAAATTTAATTTATTATATTTTTTCTTAAAAAGTTACAAATTTGCTTAAATGTGATGGCTGTAAATCCAAGAAGTAAGTTTTATCCCAGTGTGTTATGGAAAGTGTTTTTTGCTTATATTTTGTTTGTTTTTTGAAAAATGTAGGTCATGTTGTATGTCAAATGAAACAGAATGTTGTTTTCTTTAGGCTTATGAGAAGTTTCAAATTATTTAATTTTTTATAATTTTAAAATTACAAATTAATTCTTATTCTTCTTCAATCTAAACAGGTGGTAATGGCCTTTGGCTTACTTAAAAGCTATTTGGCCAGCTCAAAAATTTGTAAATGTTTTATATTTTCAAAATTCTAGATATTGCAGGATTTAGGGCTTTTCATTGAAATTTAGATATTCTTTGGGATGCCTTCTTAGGAAGAAACATTGCCATCATCCATTCCTCGGGTTAATTTTCCTATGCTATCTATTTTAAATGTTTTATCTTTTCAAAATTCTGGATATTGCAGGATTTAGGGCTTTTCATTGAGAATTAGATATTCTTTAGGATGCTTTCTTCTTAGGAAGAAATATTGCCATCATCCATTCCTCGGGTTAATTTTCATATGCTATCTATTTTAAATGTTTTATCTTTTCAAAATTCTGGATATTGAAAGATTTAGGGCTTTTCATTGAAATTTAGATATTCTTTGGGATGCCTTCTTAGGAAGAAACATTGCCATCATCCATTCCTCGGGTTAATTTTCCTATGCTATCTATTTTAAATGTTTTATCTTTTCAAAATTCTGGATATTGCAGGATTTAGGGCTTTTCATTGAGAATTAGATATTCTTTAGGATGCTTTCATAGGAAGAAATATTGCCATCATCCATTCCTCGGGTTAATTTTCATATGCTATCTATTTTAAATGTTTTATCTTTTCAAAATTCTGGATATTGAAAGATTTAGGGCTTTTCATTGAAATTTAGATATTCTTTGGGATGCCTTCTTAGGAAGAAACATTGCCATCATCCATTCCTCGGGTTAATTTTCCTATGCTATCTATTTTAAATGTTTTATCTTTTCAAAATTCTGGATATTGCAGGATTTAGGGCTTTTCATTGAGAATTAGATATTCTTTAGGATGCTTTCTTAGGAAGAAATATTGCCATCATCCATTCCTCGGGTTAATTTTCATATGCTATCTATTTTAAATGTTTTATCTTTTCAAAATTCTGGATATTGAAAGATTTAGGGCTTTTCATTGAAATTTAGATATTCTTTGGGATGCCTTCTTAGGAAGAAACATTGCCATCATCCATTCCTCGGGTTAATTTTCCTATGCTATCTATTTTAAATGTTTTATCTTTTCAAAATTCTGGATATTGCAGGATTTAGGGCTTTTCATTGAGAATTAGATATTCTTTAGGATGCTTTCTTAGGAAGAAATATTGCCATCATCCATTCCTCGGGTTAATTTTCATATGCTATCTATTTTAAATGTTTTATCTTTTCAAAATTCTGGATATTGAAAGATTTAGGGCTTTTCATTGAAATTTAGATATTCTTTGGGATGCCTTCTTAGGAAGAAACATTGCCATCATCCATTCCTCGGGTTAATTTTCCTATGTTATCTATTTTAAATGTTTTATCTTTTCAAAATTCTGGATATTGCAGGATTTAGGGCTTTTCATTGAGAATTAGATATTCTTTAGGATGCCTTCTTAGGAAGAAACATTGCCATCATCCATTCCTCGGGTTAATTTTCCTATGCTATCTATTTTAAATGTTTTATCTTTTCAAAATTCTGGATATTGCAGGATTTAGGGCTTTTCATTGAGAATTAGATATTCTTTAGGATGCCTTCTTAGGAAGAAACATTGCCATCATCCATTCCTCGGGTTAATTTTCCTATGCTATCTATTTTAAATGTTTTATATTTTCAAAATTCTGGATATTGGAAGATTTAGGGCTTTTCATTGAAATTTAGATATTCTTTGGGATGCCTTCTTAGGAAGAAACATTGCCATCATCCATTCCCCATGTTAATTTTCCTATGCTATCTATTTTAAATGTTTTATCTTTTCAAAATTCTGGATATTGAAAGATTTAGGGCTTTTCATTGAAATTTAGATATTCTTTGGGATGCCTTCTTAGGAAAAACATTGCCATCATCCATTCCTCGGGTTAATTTTCCTATGCTATCTATTTGAAATGTTTATCTTTTCAAAATTCTGGATATTGCAGTATTTAGGGCTTTTCATTGAAAATTAGATATTTTTTGGGATGCTTTCTTAGGAAAAAACATTTCCATCATCCATTCCTCATGTTAATTTTCCTATGCTATCTATTTTAAATGTTTTATCTTTTCAAAATTCTGGATATTGAAAGATTTAGGGCTTTTCATTGAAATTTAGATATTCTTTGGGATGCCTTCTTAGGAAAAACATTGCCATCATCCATTCCTCATGTTAATTTTCCTATGCTATCTATTTATAAATGTTTTATCTTTTCAAAATTCTGGATATTGAAAGATTTAGGGCTTTTCATTGAAATTTAGATATTCTTTGGGATGCCTTCTTAGGAAGAAACATTGCCATCATCCATCCCGCATGTTAATTTTCCTATGCTATCTATTTTAAATGTTTTATCTTTTCAAAATTCTGGATATTGAAAGATTTAGGGCTTTTCATTGAAATTTAGATATTCTTTGGGATGCCTTCTTAGGATGAAACATTGCCATCATCCATTCCCCATGTTAATTTTCCTATGCTATCTATTTTAAATGTTTTATCTTTTCAAAATTCTGGATATTGAAAGATTTAGGGCTTTTCATTGAAATTTAGATATTCTTTGGGATGCCTTCTTAGGAAAAACATTGCCATCATCCATTCCTCGGGTTAATTTTCCTATGCTATCTATTTGAAATGTTTATCTTTTCAAAATTCTGGATATTGCAGTATTTCATTGAAAATTAGATATTTTTTGGGATGCTTTCTTAGGAAAAAACATTTCCATCATCCATTCCTCATGTTAATTTTCCTATGCTATCTATTTTAAATGTTTTATCTTTTCAAAATTCTGGATATTGAAAGATTTAGGGCTTTTCATTGAAATTTAGATATTCTTTGGGATGCCTTCTTAGGAAAAACATTGCCATCATCCATTCCTCGGGTTAATTTTCCTATGCTATCTATTTGAAATGTTTATCTTTTCAAAATTCTGGATATTGCAGTATTTAGGGCTTTTCATTGAAAATTAGATATTTTTTGGGATGCTTTCTTAGGAAAAAACATTTCCATCATCCATTCCTCATGTTAATTTTCCTATGCTATCTATTTTAAATGTTTTATCTTTTCAAAATTCTGGATATTGAAAGATTTAGGGCTTTTCATTGAAATTTAGATATTCTTTGGGATGCCTTCTTAGGAAAAACATTGCCATCATCCATTCCTCATGTTAATTTTCCTATGCTATCTATTTATAAATGTTTTATCTTTTCAAAATTCTGGATATTGAAAGATTTAGGGCTTTTCATTGAAATTTAGATATTCTTTGGGATGCCTTCTTAGGAAGAAACATTGCCATCATCCATCCCGCATGTTAATTTTCCTATGCTATCTATTTTAAATGTTTTATCTTTTCAAAATTCTGGATATTGAAAGATTTAGGGCTTTTCATTGAAATTTAGATATTCTTTGGGATGCCTTCTTAGGATGAAACATTGCCATCATCCATTCCCCATGTTAATTTTCCTATGCTATCTATTTTAAATGTTTTATCTTTTCAAAATTCTGGATATTGAAAGATTTAGGGCTTTTCATTGAAATTTAGATATTCTTTGGGATGCCTTCTTAGGAAAAACATTGCCATCATCCATTCCTCGGGTTAATTTTCCTATGCTATCTATTTGAAATGTTTATCTTTTCAAAATTCTGGATATTGCAGTATTTCATTGAAAATTAGATATTTTTTGGGATGCTTTCTTAGGAAAAAACATTTCCATCATCCATTCCTCATGTTAATTTTCCTATGCTATCTATTTTAAATGTTTTATCTTTTCAAAATTCTGGATATTGAAAGATTTAGGGCTTTTCATTGAAATTTAGATATTCTTTGGGATGCCTTCTTAGGAAAAACATTGCCATCATCCATTCCTCGGGTTAATTTTCCTATGCTATCTATTTGAAATGTTTATCTTTTCAAAATTCTGGATATTGCAGTATTTAGGGCTTTTCATTGAAAATTAGATATTTTTTGGGATGCTTTCTTAGGAAAAAACATTTCCATCATCCATTCCTCATGTTAATTTTCCTATGCTATCTATTTTAAA